TATATGTGGGACGCAGCCTCAGCATAGCCAGAGAAGTGGTGCATCTGTGCGCGCCGGGGATCCGAACCCAGGCCGCCAGCAGCAGAGTGCGCGCACTTAACCGCTAAGCCACTGGGCAGGCCCTTGTCCTTTGTACTTTCTAGTTACATATGCTAAAAGCATTCTTTGTGATATAGGTTATCTGAAACTACCAAAAAACTTTAGCTTTAAAATTTTAATTCCCCTAACTAGATAGTTCTCTTGAACTAGAACTGTATATAGGTGTAAGAATGTCAAGAGTAATATATTTATTAATGACTTAAGTTATTGACTGAACCAGTTCAGGAATGTTTTTGTAATACCAAAGGGCAACATTTTTGCCTTCTTTGATATCAAATTCTAAAGTTTAGAAATATGTGCTAAAATATAGTTTTCCTTAATAACCTGCTATGATTGAATTTGTCTAATTCTTAAATTTATTTTATGTCACCATTTTTGTTTATGTCACCTCTTAGAGTGATAAATTCAATTAGTTACTAAGATGATATTTCCATTTAAAAGCTTTTTAAAAACTTTCAGTTTTCCCCTCTAGTTCTAGTGAATGTCCTGTTTCCTCTCAATCTTCAGTTTTCTAGACTGAGCAATTCCTATTACCTTGACTTAAACTTCATATGAAATTTCTTCCTCTTCACAATTGTCTTCAGCTTTCTTATGCTTTTCGTTTATCAACTATGCCAATAGGATTTTTTTTTTCTCTTCAAGTTGGCAAAAGAATCCATGTATGTATTCTCTATGTGTGTGTGTTTGTGCATGTGTGTAGATATCTCTAACTATATATAATATTTTTCTAAACCACTTGAAAATAAGAGAAAGTTGCTCTGAAATATTTCATTCTATATTTCCTAAAAGCAAAGATATTCTCTTATACAATCATAATGCAATTATTAAAATAGGTAATTAACATTGATATAATACTCTTATTGATGCAGTGTTATTATCTCATCTACAGACCTTATTCAGGTTTTACCAATTGTCCCAGAAATGTCCTTTATAGAAAAATAATATTCTGGATCATGCATTACATTTAGTTGTCATGTCTCTTTGGTATCCTTTCATCTGGAAAAGTTCCTCAGTCTTTCTTGGTGTTTCATGAAATTGACATTTTTGAAAGCAGCAGTAGAAAACTAATACAGCATCCACTGATGATTCTTGCCCACATCAGTTATTATTAAGGTAATTGCCAAATGGTGATTGTATAATACCATCTTTTCTTCTATACTTTTACTGTAAGTAAGAGTAATAGGAATTTTTGAACCATATTTCATGGACTTGCCTGCGTGTATATGTTTTATTGACTGAGCCTTCTTCTCCAGCTGTGAAAATAAGTAAATGTAGAGGCAGAGTAGTACGAGGATTTGTGGGTGGGGTAGGTATGAGTGTGAAGTCAAAGGTCAGGAGTAGATTGTAGGGGTAAGAAAGAGGAGAACAGTAGGGTAGGGATGAGAATTTTGTATGGCAGTTGACTGTAAATTATCTTTTCCCCTTTTATACCTATTAGAATCCTATTCATTCTTCTGAGTCCTGCTGAAATGTCACCTCTTCCATACAGCTTTTCCAGATTCCTCCAGGCAAAGGTGCTGAATTTCTGGTGTCCTTTAGTAAATTTTAGTACTTTTAATCTGTTCTGTATGTTAGTCACAAGGGTGAGTGATCTGTCTTTTGTATTAGATTGTGAACATTAGATTGTGAGCTCCTTGAGAGAAGGATGCTACAATATATTTTCGGTTTTTTTTTGTGAGGAAGATCAGCCCTGAGCTAACATCCATGCCAATCCCCCTCTTTTTTTGCTGAGGAGGATGGGCCCTGAGCTAACATCTATTGCCAATCCTCCTCCTTTTTTTTCCCTTTTTCTCCCCAAAGCCCCAGTAGATAGTTGTATGTCGTAGTTGCACATCCTGCTAATTGCTGTACGTGGGACGCGGCCTCAGTATGGCTGGACAAGCGATGCCTCGGTGTGTGCCCGGATCTGAACCCGGGCCGCCAGTAGCGGAGCGCATGCACTTAACCGCTAAGCCATGGGGCCAGTCCCCAGCTACAATATGTTTTTAAAAATTGAGATAAAATTCAGAATTTTAACCACTTTAATGTGTACAGTTCAGTGGTTTAATATATTCGCAATGTTGTACAACCATTACTGTATCTAATTCTAGAATATTTCTGTCACCCCAAAAAGAATCCCCATACTTCCCAGTTTACCACTTTGTCCATCCTCTGGCAACCAATAACCTACTTTCTGTCTCTATGAACCTGCCCTTTGTGCACATTTCATATAAATAGAATCGTGTAACATGTGGCCTTTGTGTCTGGCTTATTTCATTTGGCATATGTTTTCACAGTTCATCCATGCTGTAGCATGTATCAGGACTTCATTCCTTTTTATTGCTGAATAATATTCCATTGTATGGATATATCACATTTATTTATTCATCAGTTGATGGATATTTGGATTGTTTCCAATTTTTGGCTATAATGCTACTGAGAACATTTGTGTACAAGCTTTTCTGTGAACATGTGTATTAAAGACTTTGGCCTTGCCCAGCAAGATGTCTGACCTTTGCCCTCAGCTTCTGGGAGGTAATCTATGTCATACCTGCTAGGATTGTCCTTATTTAGTGTGGTTGGGGGGAGGGGGTAGTGTGGGAGACTGTCACACTAAAAAGACCAAGCATGTGATTTAGGGTGGGGGCTTTGGGTCACACTGGTATTAAGTGACCTGGAGACTGAGTTCAACCATGTGGGCAGTCATTCACTCTATCATGCCTATGTAATGTAGCTCCAATGAAAACTCTGGACACTGAAGCTGGGATGAACTTCCCTGGTTAGCAATAGTCTGCATATTATCACACATTGATTCCAAGAAGGTACTGCATCTTGACTCCATGGGTGAGGACAATGGAAGCTCTGTGTTTGGAACCCTCCCATACTCTGCTATGAGTCTCTTCCTTTGGCTGATTTTAATCTGTAACAAACTGTAATAAGCTTTACGTAGTAAACTGTAATAAACCTTTCCCTGTAATAAATTGTAAATGTGAGTATGAGAGCTTTCAGTAAGTTCTGTGGGTCTTTCTGAAAAATTATTGAACCTGAGGGTGGTTTTGCAAACTACCCAAACTTTGGTTGGTTGTAGATGAGAGGGCAGTCTTGAGGGCTATGCCTTCAAACTTTGTAGTTTGCCTTACTCCAGGCAATATGTTTTCAGTTCTCTTGGGTATATACTTAGTAGTAGAGTTGCTGCGTCATATGGTAACTCTAAGTCTTTGAGGAACTACCAAACTGTTTTCCATAGTGACTGTGGCATTTTACATTTTACATTCCCGCCAACAATGTATGAGGGTTCCAGTTTCTCCATATCCTTGCCAACACTTATTTTCTGTTTTGTTTTTTAAAATTATTGCCATTCTAGTGGGTATAAAGTAATATCTTGTGGTTTTGATTTGCATTTCTCTAATGAATAATGATATTGAGCATCTTTTCATGTTCTTATTGGTCATCTGTATATCTTCTTTGGAGAAATATCTGTTCAAATCTTGTGCACATTTTTAAATTGAGTTATTTGTCTTTTTATTGTTGATTTGTAAGAGTCCTTTATATATCCTGGATACTAGACCTTATCAGGTATATGATTTGCAAATATTTTCTCCATTCTCTATGTTGTCTTTTTACTTTCTTTATAGTGTTCCTGAAGCACAAAGTTTTAAATTTTGATGAAGTCCAACTTACCTGTTTTTCCTTTTGTTGCTTGTGCATTTGATGTTCTTTTTAAGAAACCATTGCCTTAACCAAGATCGTGAAGATGTACACCTTGTTTTATTCTAAGAGTTTTAGCTCTCACATTTAGGTCTTTGACCGATTTTGAGTTTCGTTTTATATATAGTTTAAGGCAGAATTACAATTTTATTCTTTTGCATCTGGGTATCCAGTTGTCTCAGCGTCGTTTGTTCCCCCATTGCTTCTTGTTATTAGAGTTAAGTATTAAATTCAAAAGAATCAAAGAGACCAATTCTATAATAGTCTTTGGTAACGTGTTCCAGTTTTCTCCAAGAATTATTTTTTAAAATATATAGCTTAAATTTCATTTGGTTCTTTTTATTTTAATGAAAATTGATAGCTTTTTGTGTCTTATTCTTGAATACACTATAGAAGTTTAAAAAAAGTAAACAAGTGCTTGATCGTAATTAGCAGCATCTTTGGGGGACAGCTTTTATAACTACGTAATAGACTTCTTCCATTTATAGTATTTTATGATAGTTTTACATAGTACATTTTGAAATTTCTGTTTTTTCCCCCATTTATCTTGTAAGTGTATATTTATGATCTCATTGTAATGATTTATTGTATTGCTTCTTTTCCTCAACTTTTGCTTTTAAAAATTCCAAACTTTGAGAAAAGTTGAAAGAATAGTACATGAATATCGAATTACCTTTCCCCTGGATTCACCAGTTATTAATATTTCACCACATTCATGTGCATTTTTCTCTCCATCGCTTGGCTTATCTGATGTTGCAGACATCATGAGTTCATCCACAGATTCTTTAACATGCATCTCTTGAAAACAAGGACATTCTCTTACGTAATTACAATACCATTATCATCCCCAAGAAAGGTAATATTAATATTGATAATAATAATATCAAATATACATTAATATTCAGACTTCTCCAATTATCCTCAAACTGTTCTTTTTTTTTTTTTTTTGGGGGGAAGATTAGCCCTGAGCTGGTGTCTGATGCCAATCCTCTTCTTTTTGCTGAGGAAGATTGGCCCTGGGCTAACATCCATGCCCATCTTCCTCTACTTTATTTGGGATGCTGCCACAGCATGGCTTGACGAGTGGTGCATTGGTGTGCACCCGGGATCTGAACCTGTGAACCTGGGTCTGCCGAAGCCGAGTGTGTGAACTTAACCACTACATCACCAGGCCGGCCCCCAAACTGTTCTTTATATTTTTATTTTTGTTTTTCAGATCCAAGATCCAATCAGGGGTCATACATTACATTTGGTCTTTATTTTTCATTTTGTTCCTTGAATGTAGAACAGTCTCCCAGTCATTTCTCATCTTTCAGGACATTGACTCTTTTTTAAGAGTCCATGCCGCTTGTTTGTAGATTTCCCACAATTTGGATTGGTCTGATTCTTTCTTTTTTTGAGGAAGATTGGCCCTGGGCTAACATCTGTTGCCAATCTTCCTTCTTTTTTCCTTTTTTCTCCCCAAAGCCCCAGTAGATAGTTGTATGTCATGGTTAGACACCCTTCTATGTGCTCTAAGTGGGATGCCACCTCAGCATGGCTTGATGAGCGGTGCATAGGTCCGTGCCCAGGATCCGAACTGGCGACCTCTGGGCCACTGAAGTGGAGCATGTGAACTTAACTGCTATGCTGCCACCAGGCCGGCCCCTGATTATGTCTTCATGATTAGGTTCAGGTTAAACATTTTCAGCAAGAATACTACATAGGCAATATTGCATACTTTCCATTGCAACAAAGATGCATATTTTGGAATTTGGTCAGTGATTTCCAGGAGATTAGAACTAGAAAACGCAATATGACTATTTCATCCTTCCCCCTCAAAATCAACTCAATTAATGAAATTAAGGCAATCAAGAAATCTGCAGTTATTGGGACCATCAAACTTCAAATTTTTTTTTTTAATTTTTGATTTTTAATTTATTTTTATTTATTTACTTTTTTAAACAATCTTTTTTTTTTTTTTTTTTTTGTGAGGAAGATCAGCCCTGAGCTAACATCTGCCAATCCTCTTTTTGCTGAGGAAGACTGGCCCTGGGCTAACATCCGTGCCCATCTTCCTCCACTTTATATAGGACACCGCCACAGCATGGCTTGACAAGGGGGGCGTCGGTGCACGCCCGGGATCCGAACCCCCGGCCGCCAAAGCGGGGTGTGTGCACTTAACTGCTGCACCACCGGGCTGGCCCCAAACTTCAAATTTTTGACCTGATATTTTTCACACTGTGGCAAACGTAGTCTTTTAAAATCATTGCTTTGATTATAAGAAATGCTAATCTACTAGAAGAGTACTGGCCTAGATGGCAGGAAACTTGGGTGCATGGGATCTGAACTGTTTTACTCATATGTTTGTTTATTTAAGAAATATTTATTGATCACTTCCTGACATCATACATTTGCCATGTGTTAGAGCTGAATTCCAATGTTTATTGCATTTGGCCATTAGGATGCCATTTACTTTTTACGGAGCAGATATAGTAGTAGAAGCCTCATTGTAGTCAATTGAGGAATAAAATAAAGGAGAGAAAGTAGAAAGACTAGATGCATACCAATCCTTAGCTTAGCTGTAAATAGGAGGAGATTGAATTGAGGGACTTTCTCTCTTCTCTTCTCTCTCCCTCACCCCACCCCTTCCTTCTTCTCTCCTCTTTCTTCCTTTAAAATCAGATAGTATAAGCATATTTATAGGCTGATGGTAAGAAATACTAGAGAGGTTGAAAATACTGAAGGAGGGGATAATTAGCATTACAAGATACAAGAAGGTGGGAATAAGATAACACAGCTGGAGGAATAAGCTTTAAATAGGTGAAGCCATGCCATTTCCTTTAAGAGGAAATGTATAGATATAGATAAGTGAAGGTGTATAGGAAGGAGGAGAGGGTTAGGTAGTTGAAGGAGTCTAGTGGCCTTTATTTTTACTGATATATGAGTTAACTTCATCTGCCAGGAGTGAATTTGGGCAAGGGACTTGAAAAGAGATGAGGGTTTGTAGTAGTTGACCAAGGATAAGTAAAAGAATTGAGTAGTTTTGAGAGCCTGAGAATGCATTTAATTGACCGAATTCTTCAGTTCTGCAGTTTCTCCACTTGATTTTCCCCATATGAAGAAGTTGAATTGAATTGTGTTGAAGTTGAATTGAATTTAAGATTGTAGGGGCCAGCCCTGTGGCTTAGCGGTTAAGTGCACGCGCTCTGCTACTGGTGGCCCGGGTTCGGATCCCGGCGTGCACCGACGCACTGCTTCTCCGGCCGTGCTGAGGCTGCGTCCCACGTACAGCAACTAGAAGGGTGTGCAACTATGACATACAACTATCTACTGGGGCTTTGGGGGAAAAAAAGGAGGAGGATTGGCAATAGATGTTAGCTCAGAGCCGGTCTTCATCAGCAAAAAAAAAGAGAGGAGGATTAGCATGGATGTTAGCTCAGGGCTGATCTTCCTCATAAAAAAAAAAATGAATTTAAGATTGTAGATTTGAAGGAGCTGTGGGGTGAAGGGTAAAGGGGGGATGGTAGTTGAGGGTACTAGTGAGAGGGCCGTGAAGTGATTGGTGATTGGTAGTTTGTGGAGAAGAGGAGCAAGTGTGAGCGGGAAGAAACTGAGATGCTCAGTAAAGTGGAGGGATGGGGCACTAGTGCTTTGATAAGATCAAAGAATAGGTGAGGCCTGGGAGGTTATGGCCAGAGATCGATGTTTATGGTTTCAGAGATGGAGCAAGTGTGAGTGATGACAAGGTCTAGCTTATGGCCACTGGAATGGATTATTGACGTGGGATGAATGCAATTGTATTTGTACACTTAAGGTGTGCACATTATATAGATTGTGCTTTGAAATTGTCGTAATGGCAAGGATAATGGCAAGATCTGTGTTGATGAGGTAGAAAGGTCTCAGAGCTTAAGTCCTCATTGAATATGGAGAGGGAGGAGGAAGTGGGTTCCATAAGGAACATTAAGGCTAGCATAGTTGGATAGCATACCTCTCAAAGAGAAGGAGATTTTATGCAAAGGTAGATGAGTTATAGTGTTGACCTCCTCTCTCCCTTGTGTGTTGGAGAAAGGGCCACATTCATTTGATTGGGTATTGTAGAGCACGTAGTGTTCTGGCAAAGGAAACTAGACTTCATGCTATTAGTGGCCAGGAGGTGCAAGACTATAGAATTTTTTTTTTTTTGTAGTGAAAGCATGAGGGTTTCAGAGAGCCCAGTGGAATTGATTGGGAAGGAAGAAAGAAGCAGCCTGATAGATTGATGGTTGAAGATATAGCGGAATATTGAGACAGTAGTTTTAAGACTCACTGTGACAGGGTCCCTGTGTAATGTACAGATTATGGAAACCAAACAATAATATTTGCTTAATTTTTAATGGGAGAAAAGCATATTGTAAATATTAGTAAAATTACTGAAATGTGATGCATTTAGAAGTGATAAAGAAATATAGCCTGACAATTTTAAACTAGTAAAAATGAAAAATGAAGTTATTTCCAACTTGCATGTAATAATGTATCCACTGGGTGTCACTGTGGCTTCATATTTAGTTATACAAATAAATAGCTGGTAGCTTTGTTTGTGGAGTCAGTGTTATACAGGTCTTTTCCCTGCTTGTTTTTCTTTTTTCCAGTGAATTTTGCTAATATTTTTTTCTGTTTATGTTTAGGTACAGTTATTTATCACCCTTGCAAATAAAGCAACTACCTATCCCTAAACTGGCTGCTCCAAACTGTCTTGTTGTGACTTGGGTGACCAATAGACAGAAGCACCTCCGTTTTGTAAAGGAAGAACTTTATCCTTCTTGGTCTGTGGAGATAGTTGCTGAATGGCACTGGGTAAAAGTAAGTTCATAAGTTAACTTATTTGTTAATACAGTGTGACATATAAGTTCTGTAAAGGTAACATCTGCTTTTTTAATCCTTAACATGTTACTGCTCTACTCCTTCAACATGGTCTAATTAAAACTTTTATTTTGATGCTAAACACTTTTATCTTCTTATTCCCAAGGCTTTTTACCTGTTTGTTCTAGGTCTTTTTGTAGTATAGTCCCAAACTCCTGGCCTTAGGAATCACTTAGGGAGATACCAGGATGACATTTTAAAAAGCTCTGATGTCTGTAGTTTAAAAAACAACAAACAAAAACTTTGGGGAATCTGTCTATCAGTAAACATAGAAATAGTCTTACCCTTCATCTTCTTCCTCTTTATGCATCCACAATTTCATTCTCCCTTTGTGACTTCTTTCCTTCTTTCTTGTTTTTTTCTTATGTTGCTGGGGATGGGAGGGAGAATAGCAAAGTAACGCAGTGTGGGAGATGTGGGAAGATGCTAGACCAAAAACCTTTCATACTGTAAATCTTAACTTAGATCCTCAGTGCCTTATGTGCTGCTGTGCCTATTTTTGAGAGAAGTGATTGCAACTCTCAGATTGGTTGAATGATCTTTGATATCTCTGCTTGCTATAAGAACACCAAAAAATATAGAAAAATAAGGCATCATTTCAGAGTTCATTAGACATCGTTTTAAAGATGCATTGTCTACCTAGATGAATTCCACAAAAGCCCTCCTACATTTTAAAAATTAGCCAAGTTATTACCAGCTGAATGTTTAATGTTTATGTAGCTGGTATATTCATTTAGACACGGGGGAGTTCTGTTTTTATGTGCATTGTGTATAGTTTGAAGTCTACTGGAATTCCTTCTAAAAGCTATGTACTTGTTTATTTGCACCTATTTTGTGGAACTTGGCAAACAGACATTTACAGTTGTATCTTTGCTTTTATGATGTACTTTGGGCTTAACTTTGGTTGATTTTGTGGGACCATGACAGGAATATAAAACCCCATTCTACCCTGTCTATTATGACAGTTCTTTTATAGTCAGAGACTGGGGCCACAGTCAGGAAGAGGTTTCCTTCTGAAATCAAAACCAGTAAAATGTTAATACATAAGAACTAAGACTATTCATTTGTAGCAGTAATCAGTTCTAAGAGATGATATAACAGGATCAGAGTTTAAAACAAAAATACAATATATTATAGGAAACACTATTAGGTAATTACACATATTGTTATAACAGAAGGAATAATCTGCATTGACTATAAAGGATATCCAAAGAATAAGAATTTGCCAGTGTTTGTACAGCACTGTATGGAAGAGATGCTGTCTCTCACAGGCCCTGGTGGTGATAAAAGGACTTTACTGATTTGGTTTTTTAGATACCTTGATATAAGGTAAAAGGGTTCATAGATAATAGATATGAATATTCTAATAGTGAAAATATATATCTCCATGGTTAATTAATGAATTGATATTGTTATTATAAATTCTGTTTTCAGTTTGATTAGCCTAGGTGAGTCTTTGAGACTCTGATCACTCCAGGGTAAAATGAGAAAATTGAATTTCTGGATTTATAATGCCAAGGGATTGGACCAAGTATTGTCTCTCTCATCAGTCCTCAAGCTTCTTTCATTATTAATTTTAGTTCTGACAGTATTTAATGACACTATTTCCTATAAATAAAGGAAAATACTTTATTATAATCTAGGTAGACACATTGCCAAGTAATCAGTAAATGTTATTTGAATGAATGAATAAATGAATTAATGATGGCATGGTTTCCAGGAATAAATTTTAATGAAGAGTGGAGATTTTTGTTTGCAAGGTGATAAAGTAATATTTAAAATATTTCTTAGTCCCTTAGAGCTGCTCTGTCCAATATGATAGTCACTAGCCACTTGTGGCTCTCAGCACTTGAAATGTGGCTAGTTAAAATTGAGACGTGGTGTTAAGTATATACTGGATTCCAAAGACTTAGTATGAAAGAAAGAAGGTAACATATCTCAACTTTTTTGAATTGATTACATATTGAAATGATCTTTTGGATATGTTGGATTAAATTAAATATATAATTGTAATTACTGTGACCACATTTTTACTTTTTTTAATGTTGATGTTAGAAAATTTAAATTATGTATGTGGCTTGTGTTTTGTGGCTCACATTATATTTTTATTGGACAACACTAGCCTAGAGGTTTAATAATTTCTTTTTCTTTTGCGGAAACTTTATAGTGATAGGAAATAAAGAAACCCTTTCCTGGATATTTACAGATGTATGGTTTTTTGGTTTTTTTTTACTCCTTCTTATCAGATCACCACTTCAGGAGAGTTTGTATTCCCATTAGATTCTCCACACAAAAAGCCTTATGAAGGTCTTATACTGGGGAGAGTTAGAGAAGAAACTGCTTTACCGTTAAGGTAGGAAAGATGATTTTTCAAAATTGTATAAATGTATTAATTTTTAGGCTTTTAAAAATTATGAACACAATGATCATTGATTTTCCTTAATTTTTACATTTTTGCAAACCTAAAATGGCCCAAACCAGAAAAGTGTGAACGGTATAGCATGTGAAATTTTTTATATTATCTTTTGTTTTACCTATAGTGTAATTGTCGTTGTAGAAAAGGAAATTATTGGAAATAATTTCTCAATGTCTCAATACTTAAATTGTTGATTTCCATTATTGTTTCTATTCTTAAATTTATTTTAAATTCAGGTATTATTTGAAAGGTGAAAAAATCAAGGCAACTGTGGCTTATATATTAAAAAATTACCCTTTAAAATGTAATTTACTTTGTTGTTTTGTTTTAAAAGGAATGCAGATGTAAGAGTGCTCCCCATTCCAGATCACAAGTTAATTGTCAGTGTGCCCTGTACTCTTCACTCACATAAGCCACCACTTGCTGGTATGTTTTTATAAAATAGAATTGTTATGACGTCTGTCAAATTGAAAAAAGGTTTGAATTTAGTATTTGAATGGTCTAGAGATTTGGAAATTAAATTAGGTATATGTTATTTTAATTAATATTCTAAAATTTTATAAAAGAATTTAGGAATAGTTTTTTTTTTTCCTGCAAAAAGATTTATTGTTTCCATTTGGTCCATGGCTTAGGAGAGTGCTCCAGGGCGGTTCAAAAGCTGCCTAGTGGCGGCAGGGAGAGGCTCTGATACCAGGGGGATGCAGAGGGGCTCCTCAAAGGCCGTTGGGCTCCGGATGCTCCTAGTCGTGCTTGAGGGTGAGCCTTTAGAAGAGATACTCGCCCAGCCCAGCTGGAGGGCTGGCGTGCTTGTGGAGGTTAGTCAGGTAGTTGTCCATCTTCTTGATGAGTTTCACCTCCTCATCTAGGAAGAGGTTCTCTAGAAAGTCACAGAGATGGGGTCTGTGCAGTCAGAACCCAGGCCATGCAGATCCAGAAGGGCCTGGTTCGGGTTCTTAACCAGGGCCATGGTGGCTTCCATGGTGTCCAGGGCTTTATTCCACTCATCGAGGGAGGGTTTCTTCAAGTCCTGGAAGAGGGCGTGGCTGCGGTGCTGGTTTTGCATCTTCAAGAGATGCCTGACCAACTTGCGGAAGAGTTAACCCATGACCTCCAGAGCCACATCATCAAGGTGGAAATAGAAGCCCCGAGAAAGCTAGGTGTAGGAGCCCTGCAGATGCAGATTGACCAGGTGGTTGATGGCAGCCTCTGCCTCGGTGGAACAATTCTGATGAATCTGGGAGCTCGTGGTTGGTTGGCAATACGGAGCTACCCACAAAAAAAACAGTGTTGGCTGGTCTCAGAGGTCGCGACTGGAAAGGAGGCTGGAGGGTGGTCAGAGGCTGGAAGAAGGGAGTCCCCAGGTCTGTTCTGTACAAACACTGTTGAAGCAAGAGACAGATCCACCAGACTGCCTGGCCTGCTGCCTAGATTAGTTTTATTTTACCTCAGCCTTTCCTCTTATACCATTTTTTAGGTTCTCCTTACTATCGGTTGTTACCCCATCACTAGCCTCGACAGAATGAAGACTGATGGGGCATCTGAAGACTGTAGTTCAGCTAGGGGCTTAGTTTTACTACCGGGGTCTATCCTTTGCTTGTTCTAAAACCAAGAGCTCAGAATAGCGGGCAGAGGGTGGTTAGAATTCCCTTAATATTTGGTAAAGACTTAGTTTTATGTTGAGGTAGTGTTGCTTTTCTGAACCATGGGAAAAGTAATTGCTGCAGCCTTCAATTCTTACTAGTCTTAATGCTTTACTGTAATGTTCATCGTTCATTGAAAGTAAGCAGCAAGGAATAGTGGAAAGTTTTGGCTTTAGAGATTGATTAACATGAGTTTGAATCCTTGCTCTGCTACTGGAGCTAGTTAGTCTAGTCATTTTCTGCCTCAAAGCCCTCATTTAAAGAGGGAATAATGATGTTTAATCTTTCAGAGTTGTGAAGATTGGTTTTAATATATTTGAAATTCTGTAGCATATATTAGCTCCGTAGATGCTCAATTTTCCAAGTGAGAGTTAAAAAAATAGGAATCTAAGTCCTTGGGAAATACTGCATTTGATATTCAAAGTTTACTATTCAAAAAATTTCTTCACGAATGTATATTTTATTAATTTGGTGATCCCTGCTTAAAAAACCCAAAACTTTCAAGCTGCCACTCAGGAAAACTATAGGCCGCCAGCCTGTCATACTATTTTCCAGCATATGGGTTAGTTTATGAGCTAGGATACATAGGAAATTGAATACAAATTCCCAAGAGAATTTTTATTGATAGCACTTAGGATTTCTATTATCTTAAATTGTTTATGCAGAAGAGTCTCTATAGTGTCACTTCATTTGAGAAATATTCAGATGTCTACCTGATGATCCATTCTTGACCTAGAGAGATTCTCAGTGAATAATCACCTTTAAACTTTGGACTGTCCTAGACTCTTTAATGCATTAAATACATGACTTAAATGAAAAATGAGATCATACTGTTCTTTGAGGAAAAAAATTATGTTTGGCACCAGTTATACTAGATGGAGGAAATCTAATTTGTATTCTTCTCATTTGAATTTTCTTTATCCTTTGGTGAGTACTGAAGCTTAATCTAGTGTTTGTCTTTAGTGTTTTGCTTTTAAAAATCTAAAAGCTAAGACCCAAAACCTTTCATTCTCAAATGCTAAACTATCAATTCCTTTTTTTTTTTAATATAATTTTATTTATTTATTTTTTTCCCCCAAAGCCCAAGTAGATAGTTGTATGTCATAGTTGCACATCCTTCTAGTTGCTGTATGTGGGACGCGGCCTCAGCATGGCCGGACAAGCAGTGCGTCGGTGCATGCCCGGGATCCGAACCCGGGCCGCCAGCAGCGGAGCGCGAGCACTTAACCGCTAAGCCACGGGGCCGGCCCAAATCAATTCCTTTTAATAATTTTTATTTATTTATTTTTCCCCCAAAGCCCCAGTAGATAGTTGCATGTCATAGCTGCACATCCTTCTTAGTTGCTGTATGTGGGACGCGGCCAGCATGGCCGGAGAAGTGGTACGTCGGTGCGCGCCTGGGATCCGAACCTGGACTGCCAGCAGCAGAGCGCGCGCACTTAACCGCCAAGCCACAGGGCCGGCCCATATCAATTCCTTTTAAATAGAATAAAATTATGTTTAAAGGTTAGTCTGAAGAGACAAGGTTTTAAAATAGTGAATATAAATTAGTCTTTTATTAATACTAATAAAAATTAATATTACAGTCTGTATCTATGAAATGCAGTTCTGCCATATTCCCAGTAGAGAGCAGCACAAACACATTTTTAGGATTGAGAACATTTAAAAAGAAAAGTTAGATTCTTGAGGAAAAAGTCTGCATGACTTGATAAATGTAGTCCTTATGTTTTGGTTGAGTAGTGGTAGACAAGAAGTATTTGTAATCCTTTATTTTTGAGTTCATGTTAGTGTATAGCAAGTGCATGTATTTTTGATATAGAGCCATACAAATTAAAGCTACCAGAAAGCAACTTTCAGATTTCTGCAGTATATTTTACTCTGAAATCATAACTCAAGGATTTGAGATAATACATGTTCTATATGTAATGCTTAGCACTTCTACATGTAAATGTTCTTAAACTGCTTTATGCAAATTCATAAAGTGAAATGTTCTCTCTTTTGCTTCTAGAAACACCAGTATTTTTTTTAAAGTTTTAATTTGTTTTTTTTACTGCAAAATGTAAAAAAAACAAAAGACCAAATTGGCAGCATATTCCATTTCAAAATGATACGTTTACTGTATTTTTAAGTTTTGAAGTTTCCTCCTATAGATTGAAAGATAAACCATCAATAGCTATGGGTTACAACCTAACATTATAAATGTATAATCTTAAGTTTAAAGATTTAAGGTAGGAAAACTATGAAATAAAAGTATTTGAATCAGAATTTTTTCATATTAAGAGAAATTTCCACTCCTTTTTACTACTTTACTCACTAACAGTTTCTATCTGAAGAGTAAAACAGTTTAATGAGATGCTATGCGCTATGTTTGAGCCACTTCTCCTCCAGCCTTGCCAAAGGGGAATGACTGGCTATGCATGGATTACTTACTTTCCATTGATTAGAAGTATGTTTTTCTAATGTCAGATGTTATGTAATTATCTAAGTATAAAAATGTTATGCTCATGTTTAAATTTATACATTTGAATTTTTTTTATTGAGACGTAATTGATATATAACATTGTATTAGTTTCAGTTGTACAACATAATGAGTCAGTATTTGTAAATACTGGTGAGATGATTACTGATCACAATAAGTCTAGTTAACATCCATCATCACACGTAGTTATATAATTTTTTTCTTGTGATGAGAACTTTTAAGATCTTGCATTTACTTTTAAATTGATATTTAAAATTAGTAAGAATAAAACAGTTCCATAAATTTGCCTTTATTTCTTTTGCCTTGTTTTGAAATTAAATATGTATGGTTAATATTATAATAACATTACTCCTTGATTTTCTGTTTTTCTTGACTAGAAAGAAAAAAAATCTATGCAGAAATGTGTTACATTGAGAAAGTAGGAGGTGGTAAATGGGTTTAGGTTGTGTGTATTTTTCCACTCCAGGAAGCTGGCCATCTTTCTCTGTTGGATTGTGAACTCTTAGAAAACATGGATAGCTGTTTCCTTTGTTAAGTCCCATAGCACTGATTATAGTGGGTGCTTAGAATAGTAAACATTTTTGACTGGCTGACTCCAGTTTAGACTCTAGTTTAAAGTTCCAAAATAGAATTACTAACATCTTTGTACTGAAAAACTGAACAAACAAGCAAAAACAAACAAAACCTTGCTTCAGTATAACCTTAGACCACATTAAAAGTGAATTCATAGGGAAAAAATGGAAAAGTGATATAGGTTTATTATCATCTAAGACTCTGGGGAAATCTTTCTCTTTCAAGTTTAGTAACATTTAATTATATGTTTATGAAAGGACTAGAAGTCTTCTTTTCAGTATCTCCTATAACCTATCAGAGCCCAAATTGGAGTTCAGTTGAGTTATAGACAATGAATACTTTTAATTCTTTGACTTTTGATAAACAAGACCAGTGCTTTCAGACAAATAAACAATTATTTTGCTGTGAGAGCAACTGAAGAACATTATGAAACATAAAATTTTTCATATATTGTCTTTTAAACTTTACCTATATCAAGTATTCCTAAGGAATCCTTCTCATTCCTAAAGGGAATTTGATAGATTTCTTCCAAGCTCAATCTTGTATAAGCAATTAAGAACTATATTTTACCTGTTTTAGTGACTTTTCATTCCTGAATTATTTTCATACCCATTTCCTCTAATGTGGTAAATATAGCTAACCAGCAACGTGATCAAGGTGAAACTGATGTAAATATTTGTTATCCAAATGAGCACGTGCTTTAAAAAAAATAGTTTCTGTGGTGTTCTTTTCTTTTTGTTAGTGTAGATAACAGCTGTGTAGCCAACATATATATAAGGACCTTTTCCCCCAACAAAGTATAGTTTTCAATGGTTATTAATATGTTGAATAACAAATATTTAACTGTGGAAATAATATGGTGAAATTTTAGGTAAAGAAGGATCTATAGGGGCTGGCCCAGTGGTGCAAGTGGTTAAGTGTGCGCGCTCTGCTGTGGCGGCCTGGGGTTCACTGGTTCGGATCCCGGACATGCATTGACGCGCTGCTTGGCAAGCCATGCTGTGGTGGTGTCCCATATAAAGTGGAGGAAGATGGGCATGGATGTTAGCCCAGGGCCAGTCTTCCTCAGCAAAAAAAACAAAAAAGAGGAGGATAGGCAGATGTTAGCACAGGGCTAATCTCCTCACAAAAAAAAAAAAAAAAAAGAAGAAGGCTCTATAATTTGGAAGTGAGGGAATGTTCTTAGTACTACCAAGTTATAGCTAAGGTAGTATAGTTATTTGTTAGTTATATACTTTGAATATTTCTGTGTCCAGCTCTTCATTTACTGCTTTTTCACTAAAGTATATGTTTATGGAGACATATTTTATCTTAGATTTTTAAGTGGGTTGTCTTTGTATTGTTCCTATGGACTTCTTTTTCATGCATGGATAACATTTATTAAAAAATAAATTGAGTTAGTTCTCAGGAGATATGTTAGCAGTATTGGAAAACTGAGAAGTCACCTCTGTGGGTGTTAAAATCCTCGTCTCTCATCTGTAAATGAAAACCGATAAATCAGGACTGCTGAAATTTCTGATGATATGGTTCCCAGTCTCAAGGGTATTTATTTCAAATGTCTTTCTAATTATATGTAGTAAAGCCTGTGATGAAATCCTTGAAATTAATTTGCTGTATTTTTTTTTAAGGAACCATCCCTGCTTTTCTGCTGTTAACTGCTAAAAGGCTATTGATTCCTTTCTTAATAATAATTTGTGTTTTTCTCTTTTTTGGACAGAGGTTCTAAAAGACTATATCAAGCCAGATGGGGAATGTTTGGAATTGTTTGCTCGAAATTTACAGCCAGGTTGGACTAGTTGGGGCAATGAAGTTCTCAAATTTCAACATGTGGATTATTTTATTGCGGTGGAGTCTAGAAGCTGACTATGATCTTAAAGTTATGACTTTATTCAGTTTTTCCTCACCCCTTCTCCCTTCGTTCTAACTGATTTTTCCTTTTATGACCATCAAGTATACTTACAAATGTAAACAGGATTTGGTTTTTCTGCAAAATGACCAGAAGTGACTAGCCTTCATGTAATTTTGAGATGAATTTTACTTCAGTTGCACTAGTATGCCACATTATTCTAGATTCACCACAAATAAAGAGGTCAGCAGTTAGAAAGATGGTAAGACTTTGTTGTTGAAAAAGTTCACAAAGCATGCACTGTGGACCAGAGGTCATGATTCTGCCTATGGATGTGTTTTGTTTGGCCCATACAGTGTTGTAAAAAAATTTGAACCATCATTCTAAAAAATCAGGAATTTCATATAAAAGTCCAGATTTCTGCTCCTCTTTAAACATCAGATGCTCTGGCTACACTGTGGCCGGTGTTCTTTCCTGGCATCAATCCGCAGGACCCGGTGGTGGCAGCTCACTTGGGAAAGACTGTGTACTCTCCAGTTTACCACAGTATTGCTTGCTCCATGCTGCTCACTTATGTCGTCTACTTGGCCCCTGTACAACCTGAATTTACAGCCTCCGGTGTACTGTTACATTCTAGAAAAAGTATTCAGAGACTTGCCATCTACTGCATCATTGTACTGAGTCTATGAAACATTTTTGGAGGGTTTTAAATTGCATTCAAGGTCACTTTCAAGTACTTCTTAGTTTTGCTTGTTTTTCTAGAAGAAAATTAAAAATATTTCTTATAAAAATATCAGAAAGTAAACACTGTTTATGATTATGAAAGAACTATTTATATTATTTACAGATTTTCTACAAATAAATATTTGTTTACTAAGTAAAATGTTTACACTGAAATGATTCTTTGAAAAGCATGCTGATTTATTATGTATAACCTTTTCAGAAATTTTTTTTTTTTTGGCGAGGAGGATTGGCCCTGAGCTAACATCTGTTGCCAGTTGTCCTCTTTTTTGCTGAGGAAGATTAGCCCTGAGTTAACATCTGTGCCAGTCTTCCTCTATTTTGTATGTGGGACGCTGCCACAGCATGGCTTGATGAGTGGTGTGTAGGTCCATGCTCGGGATCCAAACCAGCAGACCCCAGGCCACCAAAGTGGAGTGTGCAAACTTAACCACTATGCCACCGGGCTGGCCTTTTAAAAAAAATTTTTTTTTTTTTTTT